AGAGGGAGAGAAAGAGAGAGGGCGGGGGAGAGAGAGAGGGGAGAGACAGCAGGGACGGCACAGCAATAATTACTGATTTATTGGAGGAAATTAGCACAACACAAACTGGCTGCCCGCACCATATTGAGATGATAGATAGCGGAGGGGAGGGTGAGTGGGGGGTGTGTGTGTGAGGGGTGTGCGCGGAGAAGGGTTTCGGGGGTGGGGATGGTAGTCTCGGAGGAGGGCGGGTGGAGGCGCTCGGCAGCTGGCGCCTCATCTAGCAGCCCCCCTCACCACACATACACACACACACTTGCATACCTCTTCCACGTTACCCTCTGGGCTAGGTTGGCACGGTGCTGGCGTGGAGTTCGGCGACGGGGGCCAAATCAAGGGTTTAATCAATACACCAGTCTAGTTAAAGACAGGCCGACCGCCGCTGCCGCCACCACCAACGCCTCCCCCCCCCTTTCCTTCCATCCCAACAGCCTCCAGTGCAGCACTCATTAGTGGCCTAACTGGCCTTGCCCCCTGAGCTTCCATCTTCATTTACTCCATTCTCATATCCATCCCTCTCCGAATTTGGCTAAAAGCTCATTTTCATACTTTAAAGACTACACATCTCGTTTTTTTTCCCCCAAGTGGCCTGACCTCCCGTTTCTCCCCTGCTTTGCTTTTTGTCGCTCACCTCACATTCCCTCTCTTATTCCATCCCTAGCCGTCAGTTGTCAAGTTATCACTGTCACGCAGCTACACATGTGGCACCAAAATGACACCAGCCTGCTGCGGCGCACCAGTCAAGTTGTACAAATTACCCATGAGGCCAAGGGGCACACATCTCCCCATTAATTGTTCAGGGAGGTTTGCATATGGCCGCTGGAGTGATGCTCACAGACCACCTTGCTCAAATGGTCCGCGTGTGTAAATGTGTGTGTGTGTGTATGTGTGGTGGGGGTGCGGTGAGACGGGGTAACACGACAGGTGGGCCTTCATCAGTGTACTGGCAGCTGTGACTGTGGCAGGTTTGTAATGGGTTGTGTGTGTGTGTGTGTGTGTATGTGTGTGTGTGTAGGTGTGTGTGTGTGTGTGCCTGTTTGTGAGGAATGTTTGGTCACAATTTGTCCGTTGAGGTAAAAATTTGTTGTGTGTGTGTCTAAGTATGAGTGTGTTTCCTGGTGTTTACTGTGTGTGAGTGAGTGTGTGTGTTTGCTCAGGCCTGGCGCTGGCTGAACTGCCTAACTAACTGGGAGGGGAGCAGGTGACAGTTACACTGAGGGAATGAACCAAGATTGCAAAAAGCGGCCCGATTAAAAATCTGAGAAGTGAAGAAGTGGTGGAATCCAAACTCATTTCGTCTCCGACTGTCATTCTGGCTATATTTGCCCCATAGGTGTGTTCATAAATAGACACAAGCAAGAGAGGGATGGAACGGAGAAGAGAGACAAGAAGGCAAGCGAGAGGCCAGTTGGTTGGCAAATTAAGTGTGTTAGAAAGCAATCGAACAGTCAAACTTTAGCCACTTCTTGAGTGTCTGCACGTCTTAACATTCCTTTGCTGCATTACTGTCACAGACTCGCAAACGTCCAATTCCCCATGTAGAAAGTGAGCGTTTATCAGTGAGAGACATTTATAAAGCCAGACGAGTGTTTAGGAGACCATCTTTGAACATAATATTTTAAACAACTCATTTACACTCATACAGACGAATAATTTTAAGTTAAGTTATACATATACACATCAAAATTAAGACAAAAGAGCAAAGAAATTTGTCTTTTCAAATGCAGTCTATAAATACTGTAAATATCAGAATATGGTTTATCAGAATTTGAATATGTAGCCAAAGCCAATTCTCTGTCATCTGGGTTTCAACACAGGTTTGAGCTCATACTAGAATAGGTGGTGTGCTTAATCGCTGACAGTTAGTGTGGTGGAGTTGTGGTTCAGCTGCAGTAACAAAGATAGGTAACCACATACAGCACAACCATCGTGAAACTCTGTATCCGTGTGTGTGTGTGTGTGTCTTACCTCTCCTCCATTCACATACTCCATGACGAAACAGAGGCGGTCTTTAGTTTGGAATGAATACTTCAAAGACTGAAATGAGAAACACATACAGACACAATGTATATCACTGAGTTGATTCATGTGCGTCACAAACATAAAAGCATTTAGCAAACAGTTTTATTAACTGTATCCACTGTGCAGTCCAATGTTGATTGTGTCTGTCATTTTGTTTAGTTTTTTGTCAATTTTTCCTCGTGTAGTCAGATGTTTTGAATCTTAGGCTGACTCCAAATGTCTGGATTTTACCCTTCTTGCAGACTCACAGTCTTTGCGGACATGTTCCTGGGAAGTGTGCAAGTGCTGAGGCCTGTCCAAACCCACAATTCATCTAGTCCACAAGGGGCCTCAAGCTGACTTCCTGCAGACTTCCAAAGAGTCTGCTTGGGCTGCAGACTTCACCAGAATTCACTGATTTAATTACCCACGATTCAATGCAATATGGACGTGACCTTGTAGTTTTTAAATTGCCGACTGAAAAAAACAAAAATAACTTGTCTGTGTAAAACAATTACTTTATTGAAATGTTCTGCCAGATATAATATTCAACCACATCATGATACAGAAATATGACTGTTGTTTCCAACATTTCCACAGCAGTGCATGAAATATACTTAAGATCTGTCTATGAGCTGCTTATAGTCTCCTGCAGTATCACCGTAACAGCGCCTGAAGTCCATTAGGACTCAATCTGCAAGGGTGGGTGAGGGTGGACATGTGGATTCAGCCTTACAGTATATAGTGGACTCAAATTATCCCAGAGTGCAATGGAAAATGTAGTGTACAAGTGATTGTTACTAATCAAGTGCTAGCTACCATGATGCATCTTCTAACACAATAGCTTTCTCTTTAATTTCTGTAACACAGAGGGACAACTTGAATGGCATCAAATATTGTTTTTTGATTTTGCCAAATCATACATTATGTACTCGTCTTCTACACGCACTCCCTATACAGAGCACAGTGCAGTGAATGAGTGAACGTTTTTGTACACAGCGAGAAGTCTGGTCCCATTCTAGCTAAAACAGCAGGAGTAACAAAACGTGATCATTCATAGCTTCAAACAGTTTATGTCTGTATTTGCTTATTCAAAGCAAGTAGGTGTGTGTGTCTTTTCTTTGGAGGGAGAAAGCTGCTAAACAAAAGAACAGTTGGTCGCAGTCTCTTTGTGGCTGCAGGTGTGACAGGGGTAAACTCAGATGTGAACTGTAATTGCTCTCACAACAGTGTGTGTGTGTGTGTGTGTGTGTGTGAACTTTTATATATCCAGTATGTGTGTGCGTTTACAGGGAGTGTGATAGAAATGCGTAGCTGCTAATGTGTGTATGTGTACATCAAAGACAGAGTGTAAACCTAACAGATGCAGTCGTTAATGTACAACAATTTGGTGTCTAACTCATAATTAGCCTCGAGAGACTCAGGTACATATAGGATCAATATGTTGCCCGAGTGTGTGTGCGAACATGTGACATGCACTCTTACAGATGTCACTACTGAATTTAAACCATTTGCAAAGTACTTACAGTGAGAAAGGGGTGCCTGGTGTTTTTTAGAACTCGGCTCTCTGTGAGTGTGTGAGCCACTTCATCCTGCACAGATACGGTAAAAACAATTTCAATCAAACAACTAAATAAGGAGTTGAAGAGCACTTCATGAAATGCATTAAAAACATCAGATACTGACATTTGACACTGTACTCAAAACTTAAAAATAGCCAGAGAAAAGAGCTTGAGTGCCACAAATTTCAGTTTCATGCGGACCATTTAAAATTCAGTAAAACGCTATAAAGATTGCTCAACAGATTAACAGTCTCTGCGAGACTAACCTTGGCTATGATGACTTCTTTTTTAAGGATTTTCATGGCGTAGTATTTCCCGCTGGCCTTTTCTCGGACAAGAATCACTTTACCAAAGGTTCCCTTTCCCAGGAGCTTCAGGTAGTCAAAGTCACTCATTGTCTGGGGGAAGAGAAACACAGGAGATCAATGTCAGCGATTCATGTATGCTTCAAGTTGAACAGCTGTTATGGCCTTATCTCACTAGCAGTGTAGGGCTGTGCATTGTTTTACATGTTACATGTCAATGCAGAAATTTAGTTAATGGTCCCTGTTGGTGCCACTGTGAGATCAGAACTTCCTCTTGACCAACCCTTTGGGTGTCATGAACAATGCAGGGGCCTCTATATGTACTCAACAGTTTAGTTTACTTGATATATCCAGCATACATTTTACTCAAGTGTAGCCGTTACCATTTACAGATGTGATTTTGCATGACTGCTTTTACTATCCAGAGTACTTTAATTTGGGAAAACCAATTTTCCTTGTTGTTACAGGGGCTATTTCATGTTGACACAAACTTGTGACTGAGAGGACCATTTTTAAAATTGCAAGCAGTCAAAAGGTAAATAACCCATTACATGACAATAAAAAGCTGGAATCACTTCTGTGTTTTGCGTATAGAGTTTGTGAGAGTATGTGTTTGCTTGTCTGTTGTCGTGGGTTACCTTGCGTTTGTGGTGTGTGGTGGAGATGTCCATCTCTTCCTCAACCATGTTGTCGATGTTGGATGTGGGGCTGCACTGGATCCTTTCCTCCTCTTGTCTCTGCAGCTTGTCAGCCACCATCTGGATGGCCTCTGTCCACTCATCTCTAAATTTAAAACATACAACATGATAGAGTTTAGGAAAACACTAATACCAGTACCTACTGTGTCCCATTCACTGCTACTGACACACATTTAGGGTTTAACTGGATGAGGATGACTGAGACAAGTTCCTTTATTCATTATTTAATTTCATGAAATCCAGTGTTCTTCCAGGTTCGGAGGGTCATATTTAGTGCTGCAAAAACTAGTTGTTTTGAATAATTAATAATTGAATGAATCGGCAATAATTTTTATAATCCATTAATCAATTTAGTAATTTATGAAGCAAAAGTAGCAAACACTCTTTCTTATTTATTATTCATTTATTTATTATTAAACCAAATATCAATGGTGTGCAAATATAACAAGCAAGGTGAATGCTCAGGGAAATTGCAACAGGCATTTTACACTATTTTTAATTTAAACTAGTTGAATCGACATTATTCTGATACAGTCTCAACAGTATCTGGATATTTGAATGTAAGAAGCAAAGGCATCAAAGGGTTATCATATATACACATGATATTGTACAACTGTTCCAGTTTCTGTTGTTGTTGTTATTGCCCTTGTGCCCGACATAAAATGCTCAACTGGTCAAACAGCACACTACATACACACATACAGTAATACATAATTGATCCATCCCAGGTAACAATACATTACACAGGTGTAAAATTTTATATTGTTCACAGATTCTCCAATAGGTTGGCTAGTGTACTTATTTAACCAGGTTTTTAAAGGCGCTAAAGTGTTTTCAATTAACATAAACACCTATTTGTTCAACAGAGAGGAAACATGGTCAACTAGAGAATCAACCAAATGAGCAATGATCATGGAGCAGAACTAATGCCTACCAGTCTGTGCATGTGTGAGTGTGTGTGTGTCTGTGTGTGAGAGTGTCTGTGTGTATGTATGAGAGGGTGAGTAAGTGTGTGCACGATTGCACACCCATGCATTAGAGGGAACAATGCATTGTTGTTTGCTAACATTGTTCCTCCCCATTGACTTTCCATTAGCGGTGTTGTTCAACATCTGTTTAGAGAAAATATGTGAGCTTGATTTTGTGTGTGTGTGTGTGTGTATGTATGTATGTGTGTATGTAAGGCTGTGTGTGTGTGATCATCATCTGTAGCAGAAGGCCAGCCATGCATTAGGATGTGTAGACACGTTAACTGTACTTAACGATGATGAATATAATGGTTTATACACAGGGCCAAGCTTCCCTCTGCTCTGATAGAGAAGAGAAGAGAAGAGGTTTTATCAGTGTCTGTATATCTGGTTAATTTCATATAAAAGAGAATTCACATAGTTTATCAATAATTTCTTATTTTAAACATAAAAGGAAAATTCTGCAAACATTTCCTTAAGACTGGATTCAGAAAGCATTCTCTTTTGGACTTTTCCCCCACTGATCTTCACTCAAA